ATAAGCTTAACAAATATTAAGAAAAAGAACATTTTCTTTTCAACAAAGCTGACGAATTTTAATCATAATAAATTGATATATGTTACGCATGATCCAACAGCCTCCATATAAAAAGAAGAAAAAAATCGGTGAGCTTTTCTCCGGATACGCTCAATGTCCGGTGAGCTTTTCTCCGCATCCGTCGGTTTTGCGGTGAGCTTTTCTCCGGTGAGCTTATCTCCGGTGAGCTTTTCTCCGGTGAGCTTTTCTCCGGGATTCTTCTCCGTCACCTTGCGATGTCTGCTGTCAGCGCACTTCCCAACTCAAGACGCGCAGAACGGACAACCGCTTCCGATTGATGTCTCGCTCGGGTCCAGTCAGCTTACGCCGCATTCGTGTAATTTATTATACTGAGAGCTCGACAAAATACGCAGTTCATGCGTTGTTGTTTTTTAGTCTGGAAGGGACCACTTTACGGCGACGGTGTTTAGGAAGATATCAAATACTTTACTATAAGGGGGGGAATACTGTACGAATCCATTGGCTTTGTGAAGCGATACGCTGTCGCTCCGGATGTCGTGTTCAGAGGTGACGCTAAAGCAGTCGACACAAATGACACGGTGTCATTTGTGTGGCTGCGGACCAGAATCGGGCACGTTCGCTTCATCCAAGGGCCCTAAACTCGTCAAACACAAAGTTGGAGCCGAAAGTTCGCGGAGCACGCCGATTGGACGTCGGCGAAAAAAGCGCGAAGTCATCGTTGTGATTGGCCCGTCGGTTCGCTCCATCGATTTCGGCCCCAACTTTGTGTTCGACGAGTTTAGGGCCGCAGTCCTGCCAAGTGTTTTTGCGTGACCAATCGGACAGGGCCGTCATACAAGGAAGAAAGGCGGAGGACGGTGTCCGCAGCCTGTGTTTTGTATGACGCGTTAGCAGCGCGACCGAGGCTTAGCGGACACAACGGTCACCTGAACACGATGGCTTTGTATTCGGGAAAAACTGTTTCGTATTTGCCGCGTGTTACGTGCTCCCGTGGCTCTCACACCAAATACGACAGATCGGTGGCAGCAGTGGAGATGCCGCTCAAAGAGAAGGGATTCGTCCCGCTCGTCTCGGAAGCAATGACGCCACTTCTTGCCGCAACGTCGTCCTAAGAATTGGGTTTTCCGCAGACGAGAGCCTAGTGTCCATTATTTCACCTACTAGTGTATACTCGTAACTTTGGTTTTCTACACTCGAGGCTCGTCAGCCTCGGATCTGCTCCCCAAAGATTTCCCGCGTCGCAAGAAGGATGAAATTGGGTCAAGAAAAAGAAAAATGTTCGAAAGAAAACAAAACTAATAATGAGAGAGCGTGCGGGAGGAAGAGAGGGCCGAAGAACGCTGGCCGAGGTGATTCAATGCGTCGAGGTTTGCCTCGTGCGTTCATTTCTTTTTCGTTTCTGTGTCATACGTCTTTCTGAGAGAGAGAGAGAGAGAGATTACCGTGTTGGCCAGACACTCATGAGACCGATTTAGAGGTGGAGCGGCGACCTATCGTGCAATCGCTGCTACCACGCGAAACACGTTACGGTGGGGCAGTACAGCTTTGCAACGCTGATCAAAGAAGGGCTTTGTCCGATTAAGCCGCGGCTACACTGATCCCACAAAAGACACAGACACTGTCCGAGGCATTCCGATCGTCACATTGGTCATACCGTCTGTAGACACTTTCGAAGCCTGTACGAAGTAAAGAGACTTGGAACCAGACTTGTACACGTTACCGAAAAATAGTAAGGAATTAAATTTACAATTACTCGAGGCTAAATCGTAATCATTTACTTTCGTGACGTTACTTTCAACATTGTCCTCAATTAAGAAACAAACGGAAGAGGGTTATTCAAGTTTTTATTATTCTTTTTTAGTAGATCGTTCCGGTACCCCCGATGACGATATGATGCATGCGCAAAGGCAGCGGCGGATATCAGTCATCGGATCGATCTACTAAATTTCTCCACTGTCGAAATCGCGAAGCTGTAAAAGTTGTCATACATCTAGACAAAACTAGAATAAGAATTGATTTACGTCCATCTTATTATACCGGCATATATCGCCATACAAAAGCAAAACATAGTTGGTACCAGGAAGGTGATAATTAAATAATAAATAAGGTTTTGCTCGATATTCGTTTTTCCTTGATCCTGAACAGGTCGAGCTTCGGTTGAGGCAATGGTGAATAAAAAAAAAGTTTTGAAGATATAAATATAAGTAATCGAAGGAAAAAAAAAACATTTTTGAAGTGCTCGCAAAAAGGGTGGCTGAGATGCAGATAACCTGGATGGAATTCACAAATAAAGTGGGCCAACGCTAGAAGTTGAACTAGGAAAAGTAAGTAACTTTTAAAACCGGGTAAAGTAAGGCGAAAGAAACACAAAAAAATACATCCTGTTTTCGAAGAGAAGATGATGAGTGTGCAGCAACGAACAAGGATGCTTGTGACAATAACACCTTCACATATTATCACCATCTCCTTTAGTGGATCTTAGGGTAGACGGAGCGTTCTCTCCTGTTGTGACGTCATGAAATTGGTCGTAGTCACTATAACCGAGTGGGACATTGTTAATTCTTGTCTGTACACTTACCACCTCGAGCTTCTCGAAGAGGCACACAATCACTTGGGGTCCTTCTGTACCCGTCTTCGATCGAAAAGAAAAACAAAGGGACTAAAAAAAGCGAATAAAACTAATGCCCCCCCCCCCTTTTTTTTTCTTTTTTTTTTTTGTAGAATTGTTTATTTGGATTTTCTGAGATTGTTGTTTGCGTCTAAAAAAAATTAAATTCAGGGGAGTGGTGTTGCAAAAAAAAAAAAAAAGAAAGCTTTGGGGAATTGAAGAGTTCCATGCCTCCTTTCGCGCAGGTCAGTTTGCGTGCCAGTGAACAATCCTTTCTTTAGAAGGGGGAGATGTAACGGATTACAACTAATCCGCTACGTAAAAAATAATTACTTTAAAATTACTTGAGAAAATATGTAAATGTTTCGTTATTAAATTACTGACAAATGTAACTTATGTAAGGGATTACAAGTAATTTCGTTACTTGTAACGGATTACGTACAAGTCTGCTTGGAACGTGCGTGAACCGTGTACGCAGACAATTCTGGCATCATGTCGGTCATCATGTCTTTTTATGTATCACGTACGAGGACTGCCACTTTCATCTCGCACCACGTCAGCCTATCTCGATCAAATTTCATTGTCTCCGAACGTTCATGTCGGAAGTTCGTTGAATCTGTCAATCGCGGAACACCGTTATTAAAAAAATATATATATATGTGAACGTTTCTTGACGTGTTCTTTCTCGGTAATTGGCTTTGGGGGAAAAAAAAAATTATTCGGCTATTACGGGATGGACAAAAACCACAGGCAAACTCTGCTCGACGGCATATTCCGACTAATTAAAAAAAAAAAAAGGTAAAAAATAGTCTCGCGTGGTTTGCGCGTTTAGGAAATTTGAGCGTCGATCACTCTTCGAAAGATTGAAAAAAAAACCAGCTGACTGAAGATAACAATAAAACGTCGACAGCTCGATAAACAATTACTTTCAGCCGCAAAAATATATCGATAATAACAGAGCGATAGAAGAAAAAGCAAAACTAAAACAGCATTAAGGATCGCACGAAGCACTCCGCAAATCGGGGCGATAGGGGGCGTTCTAATAAAAATGAGTTTATCTCTCCAGCCACGATCATAAACGAGGATGAAGAGTTCGCAATGAGCGCTGTCTAGCGCTGCATTTGTAGGACTTTTATAAATGAGGTTTTTACTCGCGTTAAGTGAGACGTAAGAATATGATGTCCAGTGTAGTTTAAAAACCTCCGAAAACGGGGGGCACCCACCCGAATATACCGCATAAAACAGCAGGCGGGTCAACCTTAGAAGAGAAATATCCTATTGAAACGACAATACTTTTTGAAAATAATTGAGGGAACACTACGGGTGAAGCACAATTTAATTCACGAAACACAAAATATGGGGCATAAGTACAGACAATAATAGGCAGCGCGCACGTACAAAGATGAGTACACCTCTCACGCAAAAAACCTAAAACATAAAAGGCAAAGGAAAGTATGACAATAAATACATGACGACTGGCCGCAACAGCGAGACAGCAGAAACGTTAGACTCAAAGAACATTGCGTCTTTGAGCGACAGTCATAAATACGCTTAATCGAACGACAATCCAGGATGAATTACCATCCTCCAGACATCTTCCCGGGAAAGAAGAAAAACAAAATACATTCGCGAAACATTTGGCCTCTGAGCGCATTTTGGTTCCTGGTTCGTACGCATTCAGTCCGTCCTCGAGTCCGCTGAAGTTTCCTGCGAGTCAGTCCTCCACCGACCCACTATGAATCGCCGGCGACTTATAAAGTCTACAGAACGCCCCTCCCTACTACAGCTGAAAAGGCAGAAAGAGAAATATCTGATTATAGTTATTTACAAAGCCAACGGGAGCGTATAGTAGTATCACTTGCCACGAGGAAGGGCGAGGACCTCACTAGGCCTAAAGCCCCTCTATGCGGAAAAGTAGCGACGCTCCATCGAGGAATGCCGCGTGCTGTCTCGGAGCGATCCAGGCGGCGCTACCTTCGACGGGTGAAAGTGCGAAAGAGCAAAAGATTAAGATAAAGGAACGTGCACGGGGAAGAAGGAGTTGCCCTCCAGTCAAGCAACGCCGAAAGTGTAACGTCACGGCTTCCATCGTCTTTCTTCGGGCATATTCTTCGCGGTGCATCCACTTGAACGCAGAGGGTGTACCGTGACAGTGCTCTTTAGTCCGCGTATATGTTTTGGCGTCTCATTTAGCCTTGGACTGAGCTCCTGCTCCAGTTGGAAATTAGCGAAGGTAGGCCGCCCATTTTCTTGAAGCTCTCCAGACGGCGCTACCGTTCATGCGCGAGTCCGAAAGTGCAAAAAATAAAAAGTGTGCGCGTCAGAGGAGGAGGTTGATGATGTCGCTACTTTCCTTATTCAGGGGCCTTCACTAGGCCTTGAAGCCCGTGTTGAAGCCCTTACTCCCGTACGACTTGAGATGAGAACCGTTTGTGCCGTACAGGTTGTTGTACACCTTGCCGGTGTATCCCGACAGGTAGGCGTGCGGCAGCGCGTACGAGCTGGCCGCCGTCAGCGTGTCCTTGTAGTTCTTGGTGCCCTGGAAGCCCGGGAAGTGGATCTTGTGGTTGGCCGTCGACGCCGAGTACAGAACCGGCTTGGACTGCACCAGGTCCGGCTTGTTGGCCGGCGGCTTGTAGCTGAACACCGGCAGCGGCGAGTAAAAGCCGCCCGCCTGCTGGTTCCTCCGGAAGAACAGCGAGTTCATGAAGTTGCGGAGGCGGGAACCCAGCGAGGGCCGACCGTTGGGCCTCTGCAGGTACGAGGCGAGCTGCGGGTAGCTGCCCTGGTACGTGAGGCCGTACACGGAGTTGAGTGGGTAGCCCGCGAACTGCGTCGGGGACTGCTGCGGCTGTTGCCGGAAGGATGCCGAGGTGCCCTGCGGAGGGGCCGACGCCGACTTGGGACCCTCGGCGCGGCACTGGTACACGACGGGACACAGGAACAGCAGAACCTGGGACAGAGAAAAGGAACAAGCGTTCGTATGCACTACAAGGCCGTTTCTCGTCTTTCGGTCTTTAGAGTAGCTGAATTGTTATTGCACGAATATATGTAAACACTTCCCAATAGTCGATCACAGGTTAAGAGTGAAATGGAACCCCCTCTCAGCTCTTTCCATTTAAGCAGAGCGAGCGCTGAAGAAGAGGCCTCTCCAGTACTCGCTCCGCTGAGGTGGGAAGAGCTGGAAGGAGCTTCCACTTTAGTCCTGCACGAACGTCAATGAACACTTTGGCGTAAAAACGAGAGTTCTTGGTGCTATCCAGATTTCGAAATTCTTATTTCTCGGAGACACTGGGGGCTTAAAATATAAAGAAAAAATAACTTGCTGAAAAACGAGTCCATCTCTGACGAACATCGTTCGTTAACACTTAATAACAGCGTTAATAAACACGAGGTCTTCAGCAAGGGGAGAGCTCCCCGCACACCTTTTTCGCTTTTAATGTTATGGCTGTTATAATTTTTGTTGTTTCTTTGCTTTTGATTTTATAAATTTACTGAGTTTTCTCCTCTCCCACGATAAACTAAAGGACCGTTCACACTCTTGCGACCAAGTGAGACCGAGAGAGACCAGACCGGTTTTTAAGCCTCTTGCGATCCCTTAGGACCAGCTCCGCTGCATCGCATCCGGTACTAAGAAGTCGCAAAAGGCTTAAAAACCGATGTGGTCTCTCTCAGTCTTACTCGGTCGCAAGAATGTGAACGGGCCTTAATAGAGAATTGGTATTTTCTCTAAATATTATATATATAAAAAAAACGTAAGTAAAAATTAAGAACAAAATATTTCTAGATAGTGATATATATAGGGTGGTCCAAGTCACCAGGCTCGACCTAAAACGGACCATAAAAATCGACGGCTGCACGTCGCAATCTAAACTTTTCGTCAAATGTGTATTTCACGGGTCGTTTTTTTCTTGTAAAATTACAACGCGTAGTTCGCTTTCTGTAAAAAAATAGAGCCAAGAAACTTGCCAGAGTCAACGGCGGGCGACAACCCAGACGACCAAGTCCAGTGGCGGGGTGTGTTTGGCGTTCGTATTGATAGATGGCGTCGAGAGCAGCGTCCGAAGGTGCAGCCGACCAGCGAAAGAAAGCAGACGACACGCAGACGAAATCCGTTGGCAGCAAAAGCGCCGTCGTTATGCAGACGTGTTTTTTACTTTAAGTTTTGCTTTTATTGTCCGCATGTATTTTTTAACCTAAGCTACATTTCAAAAAGATTATGTTCATTTTAATAAACCACCGTGACCCCGAGCCGTCGCGATAAGGAGGTAGCGCCATCTATCAACACGAACGCCAAACACACCCCGCTACTGGACCCCTGTCCTCCGCGTAGCTGCCCGTCGTAGGCCCTGGCAAGTTGCTTGGCCTTATTTTTTACAGAAAGAAATCTACGCTTTGTAATTTTACAAGAAAAAACCGACCTGTAAAATACACCTTTGACGCGAAGTTTAGATTGCGACGTGCAGATGTCGATTTTTGCGGTTCACTTTAGATGGAGCCTGGTGACTTGGACCACCCTATATATAACGGCTGTTACCAGGAAACCATTTTCACATATTTCGTAAATACTGCGTAGAACAAATACTCAGCTGTCTCAATATCCACACCCCAAATATGAACTTGTAGGAGAAGCCAAACTTATCACAGCCAAATTTGAGGAACTGGACTGTTACCTGTGGCTGTTCAGTGACAATTCCAGGCAACGGCCCGGGAAGCGAAAGTCAGAGTTCGCCAAGCGCCAGCTCCCCGACCAGCTCTCAGACCACAGCACGGCCAAACCCAACACGCGCAATGGTGACAGCCTCAAGCGCTTTCACGGAACATGTCTATTATAACGTGCCAAGAACCTACGGCTGCCAATAAGAACAAATAAGCGCCTTAGAGTGAAGGCGCTCAAAGCACCTCTTTTCCAAAAATAGTACACCGGGTGTTCTAAACATGAGGTTTGAGTGCTGCTATAATAAGGTTTGAGTGCTGCTGTAATAAGGCGAACCACGGCTGGCCAAGTGCGTGGAATCTTCTGCCGTGATACTCTTTTTTTTTAATCTTCCCGGTACCAGGAATATCGGGCCATATTGCCGAGGGCGCAGCTAGCCAAGAAAGCATTTCGTAGCCGTATGGTTATCGTGCTTGGCTCCCGTGCAAAGGGTCGAGGTTCGATGCCTGGGAGTGGACGCACCTTTTTGTTATTTCCGTAAATGCCGCGTTTGGTGTTGTCCAGAATTTTCTCGCTTATTCGAGGTCCGAATGTTCTACGCGCCGAACCTTCTACGCCGAATGTTCCAGAAGCCCACGCGTGTACAAAAGAGGCTCCGCGTGGCAAGCCGGAGTCAGTCTCGCCCCAGCGCTCGATCCTGCTGTTTCGCCGAGATCGGCGCCTGCGACGCCAGCCTTTTTCTATTTTGTTGTGGGCACAAGTTCGCCCCAGTAAACGTTTAGTTTCTCCAGTTAACTCACCGCCTCATCATCATTTGTCATTCATTGACGTAATACCGAACAACGAAACGTGCACGCCTGCGTGCTTCCATTTCTTTCTTCTGGGTATGAGAGCTGTCGAAAATGAGCGCGCAAAGCGGAAACCCCAACGGGAGATTCATTTGTAAGATTCAATTTATTCTTTGTGTTTACTTAAAAAAAAATTAATTGCGATTTGAAATTTATTGATAGAAATGTTTTTGTACCAAAAACAACATTTACATCTTTATATTTCCTTCATTAACCTGTCCATCTTAAAGCAACATTCAAATCTGAGAAGGGGAAGAAATAAAAAAAAAAATCCAAATTTCGGTACACATACGCGTCAATTGTATTTTTAGATTAACCGCGAAGGTTTCCATTCATCTTCAAATCAGCTTCTTCATACGTGGGTCATGAACTCTTTTCAGTTGTCCATCAATGTATGGCCCTTAATCTCGTAGCGAATGTAATCTAAAAGGGTCATTATAGTCTCGCATTGAACGTAATCAAAAAACGGTAATTATACTCTCGTGGCGAGCCTAATAAAAACGGTAATTATGATATCGTAGTGTATGTACTCTAAAAGGGTAATTAATTACAATTACAATGAACCGCACACTGAGACTTTGTCTAACCATGAAGACGTAAAGGTAATTGACGAAGATATTCTTTAACGAAATCACTCCTTTTTCAATCCCACTTCCATCATTGCTAACTAAAAAAAAAGATCACTTAAGTTAGCTTTATTAATAATATGTAGATACATTATTACAACAATCGACTGGTCAAAAGTAACTTGTGATGCGTGTCGTAAAAGGTCGGTCCGAGCTCGCTCGCTTATTGCGAAGATCCTGCCCGCTCGCTTTCTCAGACGGCAGGCTTCTCCGTGCGCTTCGCTACATTGCGGAGAAGCTTCCGGACGCGACCGAACCCACACCCAAGTGTTCCGTTTCGTTTGCTTACAACGCAACGAAGCAGTGCTGGCTCAGAAAAGCTATACCTTCCCGGAACCTCCATTTCAAAGCAAGGATGCGGATCTCAAGCAGTTCGGGTCGCTTCATGGTAGGACGACCGCCTCCATGCTTCGACGCTCATCGTTTGCCAGCCAGCTTCGGACACTGTGTTCAGGGCTGTTCATACAGAGACACCTATACGTCGAACGCTAAACGCTGAACAGCGAATTCGGCGCGAGTATAGATGACGTTTCAGCCGCTCGTGACCGCCAAATGTTTTGTTCAACATTTGGCGTCTCAGTGGGAGGGGCTTTCTAGGTGCGTTTTCTGCAGCTTGGTCACTGGTTTCACTGTACGATTTTTCTGCGGACGTTCGCTGTCACTCGTGTTAAACTTTTCTTAACCATATATTGAAGCATTGCAGATGCTAGCAGCAACCTAACCAATCAAACAACATCAGAAATGCAACGGTCACTTTGTGTTCATTTTTATGCCGGTGTGTAATTATTGCCTCCTTTTCCAACCAAACACAGAAAGTGCACCCTGATGTTGCAGTCTTAGTTGGCGTCTATATGCTTCCGTGTCTTCTAGACTTTGCCTGCGTGTGCTTGTCGCCCTACACGCTAGAGATACGGCACAAAAACCTTATAAAGCATTCCTTGAATATCGACTATCAACGTAAAAGGCAAGATAATGAGGCGTACATGTTGTGATTAATTCAGTGCTCACTTATCGGAACATTTATCGTCTGATGAGTATTGGGATGCAGAAGGCAGAAGGCATCTACATGACATCTTATTCGTAAGTCCTTAAATAATTCACAAAAATCGGGAAGTCTGCTTTTTTAACGAAGTTTGTTGAGCAAATTTTGCGACTTCTGAAAGGCCTCTGAAAATTAAAAGCGTTTGAAATAACTTTTTTTTTACCTCGCCCGCACTTATTTTTTAGGAAGTTGCGTAAGAGTTGGAGAGCCTCAATTTATGTCCCACTAATTTATTTCATTGCACTCCGACGTCGCATCGCCACCTTAACTCCCTGACTCTGGTGGATGAGTTCCCTTTAGATTGAGCGGCACTTCAAGATGATAAATATTCAATCTCTGACGCAACAAAAAGAATTTAACGTAACGTAAAATTCCCGGCAAGTGATCTCGAAGGAAAAGGCCCGTGCCGAAAGTACTCGCGTCCCTTTCGGTAACATGACTGCTGATAGACGGTTGTCCAAATCGGAGTTTAGCTCTTCCATGCCGCTGCCTGTCAGTCTAGTTTTTTTTTCTTCTTCTCCCCCCCCCCCCCCCCCCCCCCCTCCCCGTGTGGTTTATTTCCTTAAACTGGTCCTCCGTTTTGTTCGTTCAACTCGCGACTTTACGACTTCGAATCTCGGAAAGTCGTAAAACTCGCATAAAAGCATCGCCGGTGGGGACAGAAAAGCCGTTACCCTCGGAGTACGACATTTTGTGTCCGACGGCCGGTTTGTCTCCATGTCAATTGATTTTTTTCTTTTTCTTTTTTTTCATCTGTTGTTCCTCAGCGAAAACTCTGCG